CATATATTTGCTAGCGTATTGCTGTAAATCGTAATCTTGGCACCGAGACTGAATATCGCCACAATTTACCGCTAAAATGGCACTTGTTGCGAGCCTGTTTAGCACTAATGTAGAAGCTATCGGGGCGGCAATTATGTAGCCAACGGACGTTTCCAAATCATTCGTGCACCCGATAGGGTTAATGTACTTGATTACCTGCGCCTGCTGGGGGTGGTGGGCGGCGTAATAGTTTGATACTTACTGCGAAGGTGACTGACTACATTAGAAATTGTTATAATTTGTATTGGATTACTTATGTAATGATGAGGATATGCTCAATTTTCTGTGTTGCCGATTCACCAATAACTGCACGCTGGCTTCGCGGGTTATCGCTCCACCGGAGGGATCAACGATGAGTATTTCGAAATCTAGATTGTCTCTCAACCCCCTATCGGTGCACGACATGATTTGGGAAACGTCGTTGCCCCTAAATATTGGCGGCCCCGATAGCTTCTAAATAATGGCTAAAACAGGTCTTAAACAAAAGCACGTAGAATTGTTAAGGCGCGAATTCCAGTTCTCAGTGCAAGGATTACGATTGTTACGAGCAGATTGACGCTAGCTATAGTAAGAGATGCTAAACGATTATCGGGAGTACCCACGAAGTAGTGATTGATGGGTTCATAATAAGCTCAGGAATCGTGTATACGAGGGCTTGCTTCTTTATGGTGCCCGTAAATTTTGATTCGCAGGACAAAACTCTGTTAAAAAATTGCTGGTTATGGAATTTTTCGCGGTTGTGTGGGATTCCTCACTCCTTTGGTTATTTATTTACTGCTTTAGTTACAAATATATTGCCGCCAACAATATTTAGAATTCTGGTTTTGCTCAATATTTCTGTTATGCGAGGAGTTGTGATTCGTCAATACTATATAGCTACAAGATTTATGGTGGAGTGTTTAAACGAATATCAGTACCATGAAGGTGAGTGATTAGTGGTCATAATAAGCTGAGGAACGTATACACTTGCTTCTTTATTGGTGGTAAATTTTGATGAGAAAAATCGGTTAACAATGCGGGAATCGGTTGTCTCACTCTTGTTATTTATCTACTCTTGATATATATGTACACTTCAATGGCTGTGCATAACAAAAGTATTGTGTGTGAAGATATTTTATGCTGCTGTGAAAAGAAATACAAATGAACACCTTTCGTATTCACCCCCTTATTGTACTAAGAACTGCTAGTCATTGCCACATGTGGTTGCCACTAATCTGCGTGTTCAATAAGGTAATGCAGTTACAGTCGACTGGTTCTATGTTTTTAGCAGCCCTAACAGCTATCTATCTACACTGAATGTGTAACATGCACTATCTGCACTAGATGTGTGTGCACTTATGTTTCTATTCATTTTACCGTTTAGTGCCGATAAGGCGTACAGTTGTGCTCGGCACGTGAGCACGGTACTGTGTGCACACGAGCCTCTCTGCGAACCCAGCAACTGCAGCGGCCATGGAGACTGTGTGCGTGGCATCTGTCAATGTGTTGGACAGTGGCGCCCTCCTTTCTGTGATATTCTGTTGTGTGACTTCAACAACTGCAGCCAGCACGGCGTGTGTGCACCGGGTAATTCTGTGATATTCTGTTATATTCTGTGATACTCTGGGCCTCACTGTGATATTCCGTTGTGTGACCTCAACAACTGCAGTCACACTGCGTGTGTACACCGGGTAATTTGTTATCGCATAATCACTGCACGTGAAACGTAATTTGTACTGTGGCGAGTCTGTACTGTGAAGTTATAGTTCTCATAGCAGCTGCTGGTTAATGTAAGCTGCGTGACATGCTTGATGGGCATTGACATTAGCTCATTTCTTATTGTTTCTAGGAGGTTGTGTATGTGATGCAGGCTGGATTGGCGAATTCTGTGATACAGGTAGGCAGTTACGTATAACTACAGCTCATACAGTAAAACAAAAACTCAACTTAAATTGTGGTATTAGCAACTTCATAGTGTAGTAGAATGTATAACAACAATGCACCCTAAGAGATAATAACTGTCGGGTTCATACCATTTTAATTGTAGTCGTATCCGGTGGTAGCTATTACTATATCCACCAGTAGGTGGTGCCACTAGGCTTACACAAAAATGACACCAATGTCTGGGCAATTTTAATGCAGCAGGACATAGGCAAGCTTTGTATATTACTCTGCGACAACGGTGAGCGGTTACAAGAGAAAGAATGTGTGAAAACAAAGACAGAAGTGGGTGGAAGGGAGGGAGCAGGTCCGTTGGTGCATATTAAAAACATATACATTATGGGTGATAGTAGGTCTCTGTCTGGTTGGGTGTATTGTTGCTTATTCTCAATAATAATGGAAATATACAAACCTATGTTTGCAGCTTATGGTAAAAACCTTATTAAATATATAAACTCGTGTGTTTTATTTTCTAGATATATATTTTTTAATAAACATTTAACTCTTAATTCGTTTTAACTAGTTGTCTTCAAGAAGTTGTAAACCTTTACATAACCATGCATACATGTTGATTGATATATGATATGTATATACATGTCCTTGCTGCCATGGTAACCTCTGGGAGAGAGGCAGCTTAAGTATGTATATCGTGATATGCTGTGCTGTGCTTAAGTGCTTTGTGTTAATTTAAGTTTTATGTTCAGTACTACTTGATGTGAACATATGTTCACAGTGATATACTGACTTGAGAAGCCATTAGATAGTTTTAACGAGATTGTGTGGGTTCATTAATTATGGGTTATTGCAAGAGTGTAAAAATGTGAAATGGTCGTGTAGCATATGTATGTAATTTAACAAATTGCTTTTGCTCGTATCTTCTGTAAACAATTTTGTGCAAGTGTTCTTATTGTTCGATCTAACTCGGTTAATTGTTACTCAGCCGTGAAGATTGGACACTTGCAGCTGACGTTTCGCCTCCTATCAGGAGCCTTTTTCAAAGCTGACAGCCTTGAGTCAGCTTTTGTCAGCTTTGAGAAAGCCTCCTGATAGACGTTTCGTCAGCTGTACGTTTCCAATCTTCATGGTTGAGTAACAATTAACCCAGTTAGATCTATTAGTCTACCAACCGAATGAACTTATTTAATGTGTTCTTATTGTGTAAAATAACCGAGGTAACTGAAGCGGTTGGTTTATATGGCACGTATGGTTGTTTTTTAGCATGCCCACTTGGAACCTATGGGGTGAGGTGTGCTCATGCGTGCAAGTGCCAGCATGCAACATACTGCCATCCCAGAGACGGGTCCTGCATTTGCAAACCAGGCTACCAGGGGTTATCGTGTGACAATGGTATATGCATGTTTATTAAATTTTTTTTATTTCAATCACCTCTTTGGCTAATGGCCCAGTCACACATACGCGACGCACGGCCCGCGCATTTAAAATTAATCAAAAAATGGAAAATAAGATTAGTGCGTCGTTGTGCGCCCAACTTTTGTCAGGATTTGGGAGAAGCTAGCGAGTTGACAACGAATGCACAGCGTGTTGCTAGCACGCTGCACGTATACAGGGCGCATACAGAGCGTATACAGGGCGCACATGTTAAAAAATCCAACGAATGCACAGCGTGTTGCTAGCGCACGGAGCGAATGGTCCGCGCATGCACCGCTCATTCACCGCACAGCCAGCGAACGGTCAGGTCAGCGAACGAACAGGTCATGATCAGGGATATTGTGTTGTAAGGCACCCTCCACCCATAGAACATTGAGTGATACTTGGTCCCATAGGCAAGATGGCGCAGAGTAAGGGCAAGCTTCAGGCCAGGGTTGAGGGCCTCTCTGTAGGTTGTATTCTGCTTGGTGATCCTCGGACCCATTCTGGTTAGCAGCTTGTCGAACATCTCGGGGGGGGGGGCATCCGCATGAAGTTCTTGTAGGCTGCCTGGTCTTCGTTACGGAGTTCAACAAGTAGCTATAACAGGCCAAACTGTCGTCGCCTACCGATCCACGGTCGGACCCAGAACCTCCGTTGACCTCTTCTCTTTCTCATTCTTCTGATGACATGGACTTGGTGAAATGCCAGTTGCATGAGGTTCTGCTGATGTTGGAGAACCACGATTTTGTATTGTAGTCGCAGCCTGTCGGGATCCTCCATCTTCTGAGGTGGTTCTTCTAGACACGATCAGCAGGAATCTCTGTCATCACCCATGAGGGTCGGAGGAGAAGTGATGATGAGAAGGGGGGGGGGACCCGTTTATATACCCCATGGCTACACGCTGCGTACACGCTAGGAACACGCTAGAAGAATGCTCGCTGGACATGCGTTAGAATCACGCTAGGTGTGCGCTTGGTGTGCGCTAGGTGTTCGCTACACCTCAGCCGACGAACATACAACGAATACCCAGCGTGTGCTCCGCGTGTGTCTGGCGTTGGTCCAGTGCGCTCTGCGCGTGTCTGTCGTCCTTCTGGCGTGTACATTCATGCGTCGAGCTCCGCGCACATTTTTGTGCATGCACAAAAATCCCGACGCACACAGCGAATGACAACGAATGCATGGCGTTGGTCCAGCGCGCTCGACGAACGAGTAACGAATGCTGACGCACACCCAGCGAACGACAACGCACTTGCCAAAATTGCTAATTTTTCAGTGCGCGGGCCGTGTGTTGTGTATGTGTGACTGGGCCATTAAGTCGTGGTACTGATATGATTAAACAGCGGGATCAAGCAGTATGGTTATGTAACTTTCGTCTAGATATTATACTCGTTTCATCTGGTTTCTTGCTTATCAATTGCTATTTGTACCTGCCGGCAGTGTGTCCACCTGGTCGCTATGGCATAGGGTGCCAGTTGAAAAGCTATTGTCACCACGAATGCAGCTGTGACCACGTTACAGGAGTGTGCACTAACACCTCAGGAATCGAACTTGTGGAATCATGTAAGTTAAAAAAAACATGCTGTGGGTTGTCGATTATTGTAGTGATGCAGACTGCGCTTTTGTTTTTCTTTGGTTCGCCATTAAGCAAGATATATAATGTTAGGTGGCTAGAGCTTGCTTGCATTCTATCGTGACTATTACCTTCCTTTTTTGTGTGTGAACTCGTGTTGGTTGTAATATAGTTGCCAGTGTGTGTGTGTACTTAGCGTACTTGCATACTTTGCATAGGATACTTTGCTAAAATATATCTCAACCTCGATTGAAAGTGGATATTTCAGTGTTTAATCTGCATGTTTTATTTTGTTCCAGATGCACGTTGTGTTTCTCAACATTCGTTAAATGCCTATAAGCATAGCAAGGAACTTCTAGCCGAGTACAGGTGCGTTCACATGAAATATTACTCTCCATGTCTACGAGTGTTTATATTTACACCGAAATCAATATACAAACGAAATACCGCATCCTACGTTACCGGATTACCGAGTTACCGAATTACCAAATTACCGGATCTACTGAGTAGTTCCTACATCTGTTTCATTTTGGTGTCAATATTGAATTACTGCTGGGTAATTATATTCGCTTAAACTAAGTATTCAGCACAAAGCAGGACTGTTGATGGGCTACATATATGACAGGGACATTTAGCGGAGTATAGATGTGACACATTGTTCATACATAGTGTCACATTGTTATGAAAATGACAACCACGCTGTGAATTTCAATCTCGTGATACTGCCTAATTTCGTCACGTGCTCCCTTATTATTCACCAGGATATGGATCATATCGGCAGTGATATTGTCAGCTGTTGCTGCGCTGAGTATCGTCATGAACATGACGCTTCTTTGTTCACGAGTTAGCAAGCAGAGCAGCAGTGCTAGCCTCACGTATCAGATGGTGGAGGATGACAGCGAACAAGAGGAGACAGAGGAAGAATGAAACCATACTGTGCATTGATGTGCGTCATTCACGGGTCAAATTTGGTTGTCATGGCAACGTGAAGATGATGACATGCAAGCACTGATCTCTACTATACTAACGCTAGTAACGTTAGCAAAGTTAGTATAGTAGAGATCAGTGCTTGCAAGTTACACAAAACCAGGAGTACGTAATAGCGTATATACTCCTGATAGAATTTAATTATAGTTGAACAAGTTGGTACTATCTAGATTGTGTATATACAGAGTCCAGAATCATATATAGTGTATAATATCCTTTTCTAGTAACAGTGATAAAATTGTTATACGCTCTTGTTTAGTAAATCTGAATTTAATACAGTTTAGTCTATGACTACAAGCCAACTAGTAAACGGAAAAGTTGACCAACAACATTTTGTTGGCGTTTTCTCTGTTATTACTATCTGTAAGGAAACAATGCTTTGGTGTGCTGACATTTACCAGTCCTATGTTTTATGAACATTTCACCCACCTACAACTAGTGTCAACAAAATGATAAAGAATTCTTTCTTGTAATGTGGGTAGATATTGATTATATAAGTCTTAGATATATATAAGTCTTATATATGTGGGTAGATATTATGTGGGTGGTGCTTTATTATATAGTGACTCAACGGGAGATAATTATTATTAATTACATAAAATTGATAATTAATTATACGTGTATGATTAATTTATTATTTCCATCATCTAAAATGTAAATAATGTTCAGTAAATCTATTTGGCAATATTTCATGTTGTAGTATTGTTTTTGTATAGTGTACATTGCTGGGTATACGTACCCGTACTGGCTAATACTTTTGTTGTTGCCGCGAAACGTTAATCCTTCCGTTTAATATAATTATAAATTAGAACGATATATGTCATTTTCGTTTCTGCCCTTTCAAACTACTGCGGCAGATTATGTCAATAGGCTAGCTAATGTCAAGCCTGCTAAACAAATATAGCCATTTCTGTGGTTAATATGAGATTTAGCTACGCTCCGAAATCCATCATTATTATGAGTGATCCGACATAATTTTATATAGTTTACACAAATAAGTAACTAATATAACTAAGTATAACTATCTGTAACTAATAAGTACACTAATATAGTTCATATTATACACTCCTGATCAGTGGCGTACGCAGGATTTTCGAAAGGGGGGGGGGGGCAGGGTTCGTAGTGGGTCTTCCAAAGTCTTATAAGTACTTATTTTGCCAAAAATAAAATAAGGGCCCTTATTAATACTTATTTTTGTTGAAATCTTAGAAAAGTACTTAATAGTCCTTATTTTTTGTCCTTTTTGTTGTATATATAATACGGAATAATTAAATCTGCTGTGCAATTGTGTATATAAATATTATTAGTGCACTTTAATAGTCGATGATCTATCAGAAATCGCGTAAAAAAGTCTTATTTTGGCCTCCGGAAAGGGTCTTATAAGTCCTTATTTCAACATGTGTCTTACTACTATGAACCCTGGGGGGGTGGGTGTTAGGAGCACGCGAAGGGGGGGGGGCTCTCCCCCACAAATTTTTTGAAATTAGTACCCCTCAGATGCGTTTTCTGCGCGAGCATGAGGGGGTGCCGGACGCCCTGGGACCCCCCCTGTACACGCCCCTGGAAACTGTTAGACTCTGATACGTGTGTGCGGCTTGCACTGAGCGGGTTGGGTCCGGGA